TAAAACTATATGTTACTAGTATAAGTATGTGAGGTACGTTCACACGCTGCGATTTGTTTGTTTGTCTGTTTGATCTTTATTTAAGCTCAGAGGCCTGTTGTCAGAATCGAGATGATCTTTCGAGGCGCCATGACATTTGAATTATTTACAATATTAATTATTTACAAGAAAATATGAAACTATAGACATAACATGATGACTGTGAATTAAGTTTTCTCGATTAAACGACCGTGGAAGTTAAGATGGGCCTATAATTTGTGGAATATTTTGAACAGTAGGCAAGATTTCATTTTTTTTTAAATTTGGAAAGAGCGTATTTCATAATAGACAACTTGCATGTTAGACAAATTTTTTATTTAGGCAAGAAAAAGTAAATTCCTGTAAAGAACTTATTAAAATCAGTAAAATTGGAAAATTTGGTTGTGAAATGTTGTAAAATGCAGAAAATATAGCCTTGCGAAGTTTGCAATTTTCAGTCATTTTGTATTACGTGCGGAAATTGTTACCATTTTCGAGCCGAAAATGTAACAATTTTCGCACGTAATACAAATATGCTAAAAATATGCAAACTTGGCAAGGGGTTAGGTTAAAACGCGGAAACGGATGCGGAACGGATGGGGTTAAAATGCGGAACGGATATGGGGTTAAAATGCGGAACGGAACGGATATGGGGTTAAAATGCGGAACGGAACGGATATGGGGTTAAAATGCGGAACGGATATGGGGTTAAAATGCGGAACGGAACGGATATGGGGTTAAAATGCGGAACGGAACGGATATGGGGTTAAAATGCGGAACGGAACGGATATGGGGTTGAAATGTAACCTGAGGTTTAGGCCCTAATTTTAAATAGGGTCTGACACAAAACCTGTCTAGACCGTGGGACGCCCACATGTTATTTTTAGACATAGTCATGCAATATGATTGACAAGTGTTGTAGATTTCATTGCACAAAAAAATTTATATTCTTATGAACATGTCCACAGAGTGTGCATTTTGCTTTTTAATTAAAAAGCAAAATGCGCACTCTGCGGACATGTTCATGAGAATATAAATTTTTTGTGCAATGTGTCAGACCCTGTTTAAAATTAGGTCCTAAACTGCAGGTTACGTTTAAACCCCATATCCGTTCCGTTCCGCATTTTAACCCCATATCTGTTCCGTTCCGCATTTTAACCCCATATCCGTTCTGTTCCGCATTTTAACCCCATCCGTTCCGTTCCGCATTTTAACAGCATCCGTTCCGCATTTTAACCCCATCCGTTCCGTTTCGCATTTTAACCCCATCCGTTCCGTTCCGCGTTTTAACCTAACCCATTTCGCAAGGCTATACTTTCTGCATTTTACAACATTTCGCAACTAAAGTTTGAAATTTTACTAATTTCGTTATTTTCTTTTTTACTGTTGTGTTTTATTCGCTTGTCTTTACTTAGATTAAAATTTAGTCTAACATACAAGTTGTTCATTGCTCGTATTAATTATTCTAGCTGGTCGATGATTTCTGTTATCCCGTAAACTTTTTCTGTAATTATCGCCCACAGAACCACAGTAATCAAAATAGGGGAGAGTGATAGAGGATCGGTACGTTTCCACGCTGCGACTTGTCGTATACGATTCGTAGTCTGGATGAAAATTAGTGCTAACCCCACAAT